TCCAGCTATATCATTATCACAAGTAATACAATTATTCCAAGGATATACAAATATTATATCTAATTCTCCACTAAACTTTCAATTCACCTTGTGTAGCTTTCCCCTATCTATAACAAACAATACCTCTGTTTCTTTCAAACTAAGTTTATCCCTTCACCATTTCATCTACATGGAAATTTCCCTCCCAACAAATCGCCATCCAGCCAATCGCGCGTGCAAACAAGGTCCTTTGGTTTCATATCATACAAAGAAAAAAAGAAAAACTTGCCTTCGATCTTTTCTCAAGATCTCACACTTCTTCCTGAATCTTGGTTTTGATTGGCTTTAGCTTCAGCCCCATGCTTTCTGGTGAGAATAGCTCGGGCGAGATGCATGTCGGGCTCAACGGGCTTCTCGGGCTGATATTGGATTCTGCCGGTCTGTAGAAGCCATAACCCATGAGAAAATATTCCAACGGTATCAACATAGCTTCCGGTTGTTCTTCACTAACCAATGATCCACATGCTTGAACCTGACCATGCAAACACTTCAATTTTCTCCACTGATAACTAGAGAATAATAAGAAGGTTTAGCTGAACCTTTTAAAATACAAATAAATAAATAAAAGATACTAGTTAAGGTATGCTTGTTTTCTACAGGATATTGTCAAAAGTTTGCAACCTCGAAGAACCAGAGACGGTTTTAATTTTCTTTTTGTAATTAAGCAAAATTTTGAGGTGGTATTTGTCATTGTTTTCCATGTCCTTGGCATAAATGCATAATCCAGAAGGAGCAGTTTTGTGCACCTCAACCAAGGCGCTTAATCTACTATCAAGCTTTGATATCATGTGGAGGGCCTCATAGTGGAAAGGAGAGTTTTCCCCAACAAATATCAAAGTTCGGCACTTTAGGTTCCTCAAGTCTTCGGTGATATCTGGTCTCCTGAAAAGGCAATAGATGATAAGAGAGTAAGGGACAGTTTTTATTTTAATTTTATTTTTTTATCAAGAAGCAAATGATCAGCAAAATGTGGCTTATAGTTATAGAAGTACTTTAATGTTGTCGCTCGTTGTCAG